GTCTAGACGTCGGTTTTACGATGTCGAAATAATGCGATGCCGCGATACCGTTACGTGATCTACGTAGGTACGCGTGTACCCGTACGATAACGCATCCGAGAATGCATATAAAATTCTCGCGAGAGCGCCCTTCTTTCTTCTCATGGCCGGTTTTCCCCGACGCGCACTAGAGACGGTGTATTCATGGAGACATTAAATGGAAATCATAGTTTCACGCGTGAGCCAGCTATGAGATACACGGAGGCGACTCGCCCGATACGCCGCGCGCCGTTTTGCTCTTATATAACCCGCAAACCATTTTATAAATATTTAATGGCGACCATACTTCACCGTATTCTTCACCGCGGCATGAACTCGGTCTCCTTTCAACCGTCTTTATAAATTTGATTTTTTTTCCTCTTTCCTTCTCTCTTCCTCTCTCTCTCTCTCTCTCACTTATGCTTACTTGGCCGGAAGTAATTTTTCCTTTTTACCAACACTATCATACTTAATCATAATATATTTTATGGATACTACTCGCATCTAAAATATTCCATATTGCCTCTAAAGCATAATATATGTTCTGCTATAATTTATTTATGTTTTACACGATAATGTGATGTGAGGGGAACGATGCTTTAACTTGTAAAGAAAGAAATTATTAAATTTCTTTCTCACTTCTTTTCACGCTCAAGTCAAAAGGAAAGATGCCTTTTATATATTATATATATGTTCCGAGACACGTTTTATTCGATAATATCTCTACCTATGACGTGTATATCATTTTTATTACGGTAAAAATGACTCTGTTTAAATATCGATCGGTGCAGTTAATGATGCGATAACGTGTTTCCCGCGATGCCGTTAACGTGTAATTCAGTTCGTGTGCGAGTTAACGACGGGGGTGCTCAGCGCTTTGATGTCTTTTTCTACGCGCTTGTATAATTCTTTTTTTCCGAACTCAATCGAACGAAATCGAGATACGCCGATCGCGGAACGTAACAGAATTTCCAGCGTGCGTGGTAATTTGCATACTACGGTTACGTGTGTGTGTACGCGCGCGCGCGGAAATTCCGCAGTACTGTGCGGAAATTTCATATCGGTAATGTTGCATGCACGCACATCGCGGTGGCACGGCAATATTAAATTCCGTGTTTATTCTGCCGGCGCGCGGTCCTGTCCCACGTTATTATGCAGCGTAATGATGGATCATGCTCATTTCGCGGCTCGCTCGAATGGACGGAAGATGTTCTTACTTGTCCTCCGCCTGCAACTCCGCGTCCGCGCGTATATTCGTTCGCGCCTCGTCGCGTTACATCGACTTCTTAGGCGCCCGCTTATTTATGCATCCAACCTTTTTTGCAAGCACATCGCGTATCGTGTCGAATCGTCGGCGGTATAGAGTATTCTATAAATATTTAGTGGCTCTTACTTTCTTGTTCCTCTCGCCGGCGCGGTATACTTGAATTTTTTTCATTATTTCCTCGCTTATTAATTCTGGAAGCCGCGTTTCATTCACGCGCAAACGGAATTTAAAAGTATTCTTGTAAAAAGATGTAGAGAGATCTTTTCTTATTCGTCTCAAATTCTCCAAATTCCTTCATTGGTACTATAAAGACATTTGTTTATGTTATTTGCTTGTAAATGCTTTTTAATAAGTAAATGATGAATCTATGCTTTGTATACTTAAAAAAAATTAATTTCTGTTAATTTTCTGAGAAAGCACTATTTTATTATCTAGTAATATATGTATATATATTTTTTAATTTTTATTTAATCATATCTTTTAATCATAATCTTTAAATATTGCTATTACTATTTAAATATTGCATAGGTATATTTAAAATATATAATGATCTATTAAAGACACAGAAAACTATTAAAAAAGAGATTTTATATTTTAACTGATATTGAGAAGCTTTTTGTAAGAAGCTATTTAAGTAAAAGAGAAAATTCAGTCGAGAGATATAAACTCTAGGAGCTTACTTTACATGAATACTCTTAAAATAGATCATTACGTTCAATCCCTAGCTAATTTTATAATACAGCGAAGGGATGCTGCTATATTGAGAAGTACTACTGTGGTTTCACGAGGAGGAAAGAGAGAGAGAGAGAGAGAGACAGAGAGAAGAAGAAAGATTTTCGTCTTTTGTTATATTTTCAAATATGAAAATTGTGAACCGGGGAACTCGGTTTTGAGAGAGACGCGAAAGAAAATTCGTTGAGAGATTTCCATCGAAGCTGCTACGCCAGCCACGTTTTCGTTCAGACGAAGTTTCGCATCCATCGCAAATTTCCGCTAGTAAATCCGTTAAAGAAGAGCTTCTTTTGCAAGGAGTTATATCGCGAGCGCGACTCTTGCGCATATTCGACACGTACGTGAATGGAGGGATTAAGTAAAATAGGTCGCGTGTCGCGTCGCATGCGGAGCTGCGAAAAATTTTATCGTTTGATTCATATCAGAGATTTCATCATATGTCACACATTTCATCGCGCATTTTATTACATTTTTTTTTACTATACGTTTTATTATCGATCCGCTAAGCCGAAAATGTGATCTTACAATAGGGAGTTTTTAAATGACAAAAATATATCTCTTTTCGATCATAAAAACAGACTTGATATCTTTTTTTTTGCATTTGCGGATGTGTCGGCCGCGAATTAATACGAATTTCGTGCAATCAATGTGCACGATACGCAACTCCCGTAATTCGCCAGTTTATTTCCGTCTAGTACGCCGGGAATTTCGGGAAAACGCGTCGTGTTTAATTCGGCGAGTTAGACTAGCACGTTTAAAGGGTAAACAAGATACTAATTTGATCGCGCAAATATCACGCTGCCGTTGCAATATTCCTGAAGTAAAATCGGAAACGTAATTGGCACGTTTATCATTTATAACTATATAGCAATATCGCATTCAAGGGAAAGCTAATAATTTAAGACTAAAGAGAAGACTAATAATTTAAGACGTACAAAATTATGTTATTGAGAAACATCGTGAGGCTTATTGGTGATTTATACGAAATATCGATGAGAGACTTATAGAATTAAATTAGGACGCTCTAGTTAAGTCGCGCACAACGGGACGTATTGTGAGTTATCATCTTGACGGCTCTATGCGAACTCTCAAAACCAGATTCTTCTCGAACACGCGGGGGCTATATCATCCGGAATCGCCACCACCATATGTTTCTGCCGACATTTCGACGGCCGTATCGCTCGTAAATCTCTGTCGGGGACAGTCGACACGAGCGGGACAGATCGGTCCCGGCGAAAAGGGTCCCGGCGATCGCGATAAATCATCGGGTCCGCCGTGCCCCGGTCAATTACAAAGCTGCGTCGGTAAATAACGAATTACGCGGCTTTCAATTTACCCATGCGAGTATAATGGCCATTCCATCGAATTTCGTCGTCGGCATCGAAAGCTTTATGAATGCTCGCGGGATCGTTCCGCGTGTACGAGTCGAGCGCGCGCTCGCATCGACCGGACTTCACACTACGGCTTTCGCGTTCTCGTTAGTCTTCATTAGCTAATTAACGTCGCGCCGCGCGGAACGAATGAATAAAAAAAAAAAATAGCACGGAAGCTGTGACAAGCGGAATAGACGCAGTACTGAATTTCGACTCAGCGTCGCGTTGCCTGCGTTCTCGATAATTTACCATGCTGTGCCGCAAAAAGTTTGCTGCTATAATAATTTACTGTATAAAGTTGTGATTGATTGTTGGACGCGACACAGAGATATAAGTATCACGATGCTGTTTCATTAGTGCATTCGTTTAACTAATATCATCATCGTTATATACATTGCCTATTTTATAAGACTGTAGCGTTTAAATAACTAATTACTAAAAAATCTAACAAAAGGAATATTATAGTGTCAATATGGAGCAGCTTAATCTCGATTTGGAAAAAGCTATTATTTAAACTTTTATTGACCTTTTTATAGATATCAAAATTTTATTGACATTATACAACCGCGATAAAAGTTCAAAGAGTAAACTATTGCAATTGTAATTTTTAAAATAAAAAACTTATATTTGAAGTTTAATTAAAATTTAAAGTAAATTAATTTTCAAATTTTATTTTGAAAAACTTCTCTATAGGCATATGCATGTGCGCGATACGCATGCACACAAATAAATAAATGTTTTTAATAGTAATTTATTGAAAAATTACATGATGTTAGAGAAATAGTACGTCTGTTGTATTCTAGCTACAAATATTAAATGTTTAAATGTTACATTCATTATACATTGCGAATGTTAGGACACATAGTTACATTTACACACGACACGAAAGTGAAATATATCTTATAATTGGTACGCCAAACGCAGTTACGAGAAATTATCGATGATGAGTTTCCATGTTTCGGTAACTCCAAGTCCGGCAAGGGAAAACTGGAGGGAAAATATCGATGTCATGTCGCGTACGCTTATATGAAATTCTACGCTACCGAGAGAGATTCAGAATTACGTAATGTATCTACTGCAGAAAATATTTCGTTACGCAATTCCCAGTCTTAAATCTTTTCCACAATCTTATCCCTTTATGAACCCTGCGAAAAGTCCGCAACGATAACATTAAATTACTCTGCTTGCGAACTACAACAGCGAAACAACCAACTTTCAGTGTACTCGAGTCCTCTCAGCAAATTGTTTCTACCTAAGGAAGACACACGAAAAGCCAGACGTTCAGGAGCATCACGTCGAGCGTCACCGTTCGTCGATCATTAGTCCCAGCGATTGGCAACGGAAGAAGCGTTTGCAAACGCACAAAAAAAGCGAGAGGGATGAAGGGCCGGCCTTGAAGAGCTGGTCGGGCCTGCAGGGCCGGAGGAGAGGAAGCGTGAGGAACCGACCACCGGGAGAGTCGTCGTCCCCTCGTAAAAAAAGGGGTCGAGGCCTGGCACCAGGTCAAAAGCTCGGTCACAATAGGTTGCCTGCAAAGCGTCGGTTCCAGGGGGTCGGAGGCGGAGGAGGAGGGTGGTGGCGTCGGGGGCAGCGAGGGAGGCGGCACGAGTATGTGCTGCGTCCTTCAAGGTGCCGAGAGAGTGTTCCCCTCCGTTGGGAACGGGGGGAAACACGGAACGGGAGCGGGGAGCGGCAAGGGCGCCGGCGACACCCCCGTGGGCTCCCAGGATCTACCCCTCGAGTCGCTCTGGGCAGCCGGCCTGGATGAGGGGATGGGGTTCCCGCAGAGATGTTCCTACGCGAATCAGCATACCACTCTCGCCGCGTCCTCTTCTACGAGCCACACGTCCCCCGCGAACCCCGACGATCTCTGGAGAGAGAGAAGCCTCCCTCATAGGTATATATATTATTTAGGAAATTAATCAATCAAGTTTTCGCTTATTTTTTTTTAAGAAAAATTTTTATTTAAAAAAAAGGTAGCTTGATTAATTTTCTGAGCTAATATATCTGCTATAGAAAAGTCCTTTATCTCAGAAGAACTCGGAAGATTTTTTTTAAACCAATTCTTTATCTCTAACGTTGAACTTGTCCCAATACCTAGAAATTTGTAATTTTGAAAAAACTTTGCGAGAGTGCAGGCATATTACAAGTAGAGCAAAACTTTGATATGCAGAGGGCTCTTATTATTTCTTAATTTTTCTTAGAGTCCAATTATAATTTATTGCAAACAAAACTCGAAAGAAGAATCTAAATATCACGTTTACTTACTACATAACTTCGTACTTTGTACTTAATTTATTATCTATAATTCTCTTTGCGTTTTTTTCTGAAGAAGTTTAATTTCCTATGTAATTGCAAACTCGAATTAAACTCTCTTCAAAAGAAGATCGTCACTTAACTCCTCAAACATTCGCTATCGGTACATTTTTTTTTCGTTTCTGTCAAGCGAACAATTAGAACAAAATCGGGCATGTTACTGGTCTGAAAAATTATACGAAAAACCCCTCCAATATCCCGCCATATCAATACAATAGAAAGGCTATAGAAAGGCTCGTTGGCACAGAACGCCTACGACCTCCACGGGGATCGGTTCCTCGATCACGGATGAGATATGGACGTCGGCGAACGAGCGGCGATTCTGCCGCACCTCGACCACCTCGACCGGCATCGGTTCGTCCCTGAACCTATACGAGAACAATCGCTCGCTGGAGTCGCGCGACGGCGATTTCTACGCCACGGATATCGAGGATTCCAAGGACACCTCCTACCGGAGATACTACCCGACCACGCCGACCACTTCCGGCCTGGGTTCGTCCTCGGACCGTCAATCCGTCGAGACGCAGTGCGGCTCCAGGGATCTTCCGGATCATCTCTGGGCGGCCGCGATGGAGGACGGCTTCTCGCGCTTCAACGCCATGAAGTCGCTGCAGACGATCACGCGGCAGCCCCGTCCGAATCACGACTGGGTGAAGACCGAGCGTATCTCCAGGTTCACCAAGCACCGCACCATCAGTCAATCGCCGCAGCGTGAGGAGGAGATCTGGACGTCCAAGCTGAACGAGAGCGCTGTAGTCTCCGGCTATGCCACGCAGAGGAATCTCGGTCCGCACAAGTGCCACCATCAAGCGCGCAGGAGCTTCTCCACGTCGATCGTCGCGGATCTCGCCGTCACACCGGACGGATCTCAGCAGAGCCTCGGCAGCGGCGAGTTCTTGGTGAGTCTCGGTGTCATCTCGGTGTCGTCTCGTTTTAGTGTAGTTTCGTATTAGTTATTTAATATTTTCTTATCTGGCGCACACTGATTAAGAACGGCAAATATTTTTAGGCTTCCAAACGCTAGGCATACGTTCCAAAGTTACGTATGTAATTCCTAATATAATTAATGGGAATACTCTTTTAAATATTATATATCTGTATTATATGTTTTGAAATTTAATAAGATGAGCTTATGCAGCTTTTACGTAGAGCCGAAAATATATGACGCTCGTAAAGCAAGTCATAACTTTTTTCAAACAAAAATTACGGATCCAAAACATTCTTAGAATATACAATTCGCGCATCAAAATCGCTTATTATAGTTATTATTGTCGCAATTGCGTCACAAAATGCTTGTACCATTTACGGATTTAATAATGTCCGGTGTTTACGCACCGTACGTTTTTTTCACAAGGGTGGCTCTGCATTTTGTTCCGTTGCACGGGGGGATAATCTTTCCAGCCGGTTCTCATAAAAAAAAAAATGCGCCACCGGTAGGAGAGCGAGACAGTACAAAATTACAAACCCACCGTACTCGCTACGCGGTTTCCAACCGTTGATTATCGTAATGGCCTCGAGCACCCGTGGAAACGTCCTCGACTGAAGTGGGCGGCCGTGCTCTCAACCCTTTCTCCTCACTCGCTTCCACACCGCGGCAAGGGATTTAACTGACTTATCGCGCCTTAGCTTTGGATTACCTCGCGGCGAAATCGCGAAGTAGCCTGGTCGCGAAACTCGTTCGTTGTTTTCTTTTCGCCGCAGCCGACGAGAGAAGGCTTTGACGCGAACTCCCCGGGTCCGTCAACTGAATTTATCGCCGCGTCCTGATAGCACGCGGTTTGTGTATATTTTTTAAGACGGATTACCGACTTTCTACTCCGGACTTTTTCTTCCGGCAATTTTCTGCGACAATTGAATATATATATCTCGAAATGAGACACGCGAGACTCACGCTCAAAACTAGAGCGAGAGCGAATTGGACAATGATATATTGCATCTCCTATAAGATTAAGGAAGCTATACTAGTACACACTCTATATTTTAGATTTTTTGGTAGAAATATTTTATTTCTAAAATAATTCAATAGTTTTATAATAATTAAAATAATTTTATACTTTTTTAAATTATTTTAGAAATAAAATAATTTCAAAACAATTAAAATTAGACAGCTAATTTCTCTAGTAAAGCATTTCTATATTATCGAATTGTAATCGAATTGCTGAATTAATATCTAGAAAGCATTTGTTTATTAGAATGCACTAGTATACACTAGAATTATTAGTGTGTTTTTGAATTAACATTTTTTTTCTTTAGTATTATGAAGCATTCATTTGAAGTTTAATAAAAAATCTACCGATTTTTGTATAATTTAATTAATTTGAAACGTAATTGTACTTTGTCATATACGGATTTCATTGATTTCTTAATTTCATTGTCGTTGTTCGAAAACAACGGCTGGTACATTGTTGACGTCTTTCCTGGTATTGGATAAATAAAATTCAGCAAATAAAACGTAAACGAAACATGAAAGCAGCAGTGTCCGTCCGTGCGGCGTGTGTAACTAAGTTGACAGAAACTATTAAAATAGCACGCGTTGCTCGTAGAAACTCGAGCGCGCGCTTGCTGAATCTCGAGAAATTGTCGGGAGTTGGAAAATGGTAAAAATTTTAAATCGGACTTTCCGCGGGCACGCACGTACACAATACGTCGAAAGTTTTACGGGCGATATCTTTTGTGTACGCGCTGACGCGAGAAAGGCGCGACTATATCGCCCAGCATAAATCTTTGAGATTTTAATACGGGATTTAATAATTCGCTCTGGATCGCGTAGTCGACTCTAGGAAGAATAGTCTATTGTATTATTCATTCAATGTTCTTTTTTGTAGAATTCATTCTTTTAATGTAATTTTAATTACACCAGTCAATGATCGTACATGATCGAGTAAACAAAATTAAGAGAGAAATTATATATGAAATTGTATATCATTCAAATAGAGTTTATATTTTCTATGCGTGTCAGAAAATATATAATAAAATATGATCGATTGTTCTTCAGTTGGATCATGAAGCTTTAACCGCTTTTAACGTCTATATTATAGTCACTTGTGTTAATAAAGGTTCATTGCGGTATATGAACGATTTACCGGCTTTGCGAGCATACACTTTGTATGGTTTAGCACGATGACCGGATGAATGCGAATGTACAATGTTAAACCGCTAAAAACTAAATTTTGTCTAATCCGCCACGCGCGTGTATTACCGCTTATATCCCATCGCGTACATTATACATACCATATTCCATCGCGCATCCGCTCAATGCGGCACGTTTTCTAATATGCGTTTACGCGTACCTTCTTCCAATAATGAGAGCAGACTCGCATAATTGCATCGATATTATCCCAGTTGCAACGTGCCCGGATTAAGCTTGTGCATCAGGATAAAGCGTGGAGGATAAATTGAATTTTAATTTTAAAAAATTGACCCAATTGAGTTATTTCCATTTATTTTAACATTTTTATTACGTGGACAATCGGCGAAAGGCTTTTTGTTTAATAATTCAAAGAGGAAACGTACGCGAGTAAGAATATAATATTCATCGCAATTATGATACAGTCGTGTAAATCCTGTAACACGTGATAACAATAGTATAATTATTAAATAATAACGAGTGCAAAAATAATATAAGTATAACGTTACCGTGGTATAATAAAAGTATTAACATATGCAAGTTACGTGAAAATACATCGTATAAATAAATCCTAAATAATGCGAAAGGAAATAATTGCTACGCCAGCATCGATAAAGTGACGCGGGCGATATTTATGTCACTCATTTGAGAGCGTATATATATGGAAATAACTGTTGTTTCACGCGGCGCGTCACGTGCGACAAAGTGACAAGGCGGCATGTTCATTTCATGTGCGACGAACGAAAGAATGACTCCTCTCGTGGAGTCCTGGGCTGGGTTATGTCTGCATGTTCTCGCGCACGTTCTCGCATGTAATGTCGCTTGCAGCGACGAAACCCGGTGGTCCGTCTGGAAATCTGTCCGGAGCAAACGATGTACGATGATGATGCGGGCCATAAAAGCGCCGTTCTACTTCGGGGATATTAGAGCCCGGATATCGCGGTTCATCCCTTTTTCATCGCGGTCCACGATCCTCCCCTAAAATGAACGAGTTTTATCACCCAGTGGGTCACGTGACTCGCGGTCGTTTTCCCCTCCTCGCACGGATAATTCCGACCGTCTCGGGGATGCATCATTAATTTCCTCGCTCCAGAAAGTGCCGCTGCTAAGTTCGAGCACGTAATTGATTCGGGTAACGGAATTTGTTATAGCTAACTTTTTGTTTGGAGATTGAAAGTTCCGTGTCTCGGAGAATAATATGCGCGAGCCGGGCGAAGAAGGGTGGAAGCGAACTTTCCTGCCGCGAGGCGATATCATTTTAATTTCTCATAAAAATGTGAAACGTGAATTTCGAAACTTTAACAAAAAAAATCGAATAATTGTAATCTCTTCTATGTAACTACGCGTTGCCAATTACAAGATGAATGAAAAACAGGTGGGAGGAATGGATATAATACGCGTAAAGAAATTTGTAAGCTGATGCGCGTACTATATTTAGCGCTCGTTTTTTGATAAGATACCTCCGCACAAAGACTCTCTTTCTATCTCGCTGCCTCTTTGAGTCGCTCAGCTTAATTAGTCGTTCCTCTCTTTCTTTCTCTCCGTGTCATCCTGGGCGCTCAGCATCTCGCGAATAAACGCAAAGAGAAGTCAACTCGTCTATATTTGCACATCGGGCAGAAGGTATCTCAACATGCGCGCGTTGCTGCAGGATTTTCACGCGTAATTCTTGGCAACCGGGGCAAGAAGGACGATCCAATTAGAGTCAATGAAGTTCTCCGCGATATTCCGACCGTTAACTTCTTTCACTTAGACGCTTTTACTTTTTTTTTTTTTACTGCCGCGGAAGCTTCGCGACGCGACACGACGGTCTGCAAGCGGCGCTTTTTGAGGCGTAATTAACATGGTCAGCGGCCACGACGAACTATAAAATGTTCTGGAAGTTCCTCTTTATACCTGTTACACAGTCACTTTAGCGTTGTAGCGCCGAAGAAAATGTGAATGGCGGTAAAGTTTTTAATCAATTTAAATTTACGGCATACGTTCTTTCGCAATTAAGTTGTTTATTATACTGGGCATCCCCCCTAAGAAGCTCGACTGTTTCTCAGGGAAGATCTGATGAATGTCTGCAAGTTCCAAAATGTTTATCGTAACTTTCCAATATTCGTTACACACGCTAGTAACTGTGTAGTACTAAATGATGAAAATGGTAAGAGATAGTTCTGAGGAATTTCAACATCGCTATTGTTGTCCCGCAATTGTTATGAGTCGAAATTCTCTCCCGTTGTGTTTCTCTCTCTCTCTCTCTCTCTCTCTCTCTCTCTCTCTCTCAACTCTTCGACCTTGTCGGCGCTCAAAGGAAGGCGAGCGAAGTTTCGGAGCTCGCACTATAATTTGCAATACGCGAGGCGGCGACGTTCGCTCTCGTCGCGTATATCGCACGCGCGTCTCTCTCGGTGCTGCTCAAACGTAGGCACAAGACGATCCAATTAAACTCCACCGTGTTCGAGTGTTGACGGAGATGATCCCTTAATCGGCGATATACATGTGTCAAGTGCATAGAGAGTGCACGAGCGCGCGCCGACCGACGGAACGCGGCATAAATCGATTTATTGCCGCGGCGACACGAGGAAAGTCGAGGTGACGCTGCCGCCGCCGCGCGCTCGCTCGCTCGCTCGCTCGCAAGATGACTTTGATGAGGTCCGCACGTAATTATCCTCCGATTAATGAGCGGGCATACTGCTGGCGGGATAACCACCAGCAGGGATTTACTCCCGTAATTACGCTCGCTACTTCGATGGTTTAATGAGGAATATATATACCTACGTATGT